TGTTTACTTTCTTAAACTGTCTTTGCTCAATTTTTTTCAGATTAATCAGACAAAAAGCAAAAAAAATGAAAAAAATGCAAAATTTGGCAAAAAAAATGTCTGCGACAAATTTTCGAATTTTGAAATTTTGAAACGGCTATTCTTTCAGATTTTAACAGTAGATTCCAAAAATGCAAACCCAAAGAAAATCGACCGGAAAATACGACTTCTAGAGCCGATTATCTATTCTTGCACATATTGAACTGTGGCACTTCCGGTTTTGCAAAAAAGATCCAAAATATATTTATGCACATCGTCGCCTATATCTAAGGTTCGTGAACGTTGAAAGGTTGCTGCAACTATTGTAGTCTAAGCTCAGGAAGGTGTGTAAAAATCGAAAAAAAAAAAAAAAAAAAAGAATTGACATTTCGATAACAAACTGGGACTTTGCCGTAGCAAAGTCCCACAATTATATGCAAGCCTGTTTGGCCAGTTTGAAAATAAAGTGACACCTTTCATATATTTATTATCTCAGTCTCTAAGAGGTTTACCTGCAACAGTGAAACATGGAAGAAATGTGACATGTTGATGAGACAGTGACTGAGTGTGAATCTTTTTTTTAAAATTATTATCTTATTCTATTTTAGCTGTCTTGTGAAGACAACCAAGTATTAAATGTAACAGCAGATAACATTACCGATAATAATCATTATACAGAATATTGTCAACATGCTGAGGTTAGTATACAGATAATAATCATTGTACAGAATATTGTCAACATGCTGAGGTTAGTATACAGATAATAATTATTATACAGAATATTGTCAACATGCTGAGGTTAGTATACAGATAATACTCATTATTCAGAATATTGTCAACATGCTGAGGTTAGTATACAGATCATTTTCATTATACAGAATATTGTCAACATGCTGAGGTTAGTATACAGATAATAATCATTGTACAGAATATTGTCAACATGCTGAGGTTAGTACACAGATAATAATCATTATACAGAATATTGTCAACATGCTGAGGTTAGTATACAGATAATTTTCATTATACAGAATATTGTCAACATGCTGAGGTTAGTATACAGATAATAATCATTATACAGAATATTGTCAACATGCTGAGGTTAGTATACAGATAATAATCATTATACAGAATATTGTCAACATGCTGAGGTTAGTATACAGATACAGAATATTGTCAACATGCTGAGGTTAGTATACAGATAATAATCATTATACAGAATATTGTCAACATGCTGAGGTTAGTATACAGATAATTTTCATTATACAGAATATTGTCAACATGCTGAGGTTAGTATACAGATAATAATCATTATACAGAATATTGTCAACATGCTGAGGTTAGTGTACAGATAATAATCATTATACAGAATATTGTCAACATGCTGAGGTTAGTATACAGATAATTTTCATTATACAGAATATTGTCAACATGCTGAGGTAAGTATACAGATAATAATCATTATACAGAATATTGTCAACATGCTGAGGTTAGTATACAGATAATTTTCATTATGCAGAATATTGTCAACATGCTGAGGTTAGTATACAGATAATAATCATTATACAGAATATTGTCAACATGCTGAGGTTAGTATACAGATAATAATAATTATACAGAATATTGTCGACATGCTGAGGTTAGTATACAGATAATTTTCATTATACAGAATATTGTCAACATGCTGAGGTTAGTATACAGATAATAATCATTATACAGAATATTGTCAACATGCTGAGGTTAGTATACAGTTAATAATCATTATACAGAATATTGTCAACATGCCGAGGTTAGTATACAGTTAATGATCATTATACAGAATATTGTCAACATGCTGAGGTTAGTGTACAGATAATAATCATTATACAGAATACTGTCAACATGCTGAGGTTAGTATACAGTTAATAATCATTATACAGAATATTGTCAACATGCTGAGGTTAGTATACAGATAATAATCATTATACAGAATACTGTCAACATGCTGAGGTTAGTATACAGTTAATAATCATTATACAGAATATTGTCAACATGCTGAGGTTAGTATACAGATAATAATCATTATACAGAAAATTGTCAACATGCTGAGGTTAGTATACAGTTAATAATCATTATACAGAATATTGTCAACAAGCTGAGGTTATTATAACGTTGACTTGTACATTGCGCTTAAAAAAAGTTCTTAAAATTTTATTTTGACTATGAAATGCATTAAGACAGGGTGATATGAAATCATAAACAAGGTCCTATTCTGCTCCATCTCATCTAGCATGACAACACAATCTTATACTGGATTTTAATGTACTTGGTCTTTTTCTATGATCGGTGCAATTGCTGTGTGTATGTGGATGTGGATGACAAGAGTTCTTGATACTTGATTTTCTATTTTCAGTATTTTATCTACAGTTATTTACTAGCTTTAACTAGCTGCAGTGTATTTTTACATCTCAGTTATTTTATTAAACTAAGTTGTATGTTAACTGGTTTTACTGTGTTTAACATTATACTCCATCTTGATGAGAAGAGAATTTATCTTTGGTCTAGGTAAGGTTATATTCTCTTTCAGCTTTCTTCTTTAAGATCTGCTCTGCATTCATTTTTGTTCTTATCTTTATGAATTGTCTCCTATGATAATAAAGGTGAATAGATGAAAGAACAATTCTTTAAAAACTCTTTCATACAAATGTACAAAGCAGGGCATATATCATAAAAGATGTACTATTAGTCTACAGGAAGATATGTCAAATGACTTCAAATAATGATCAATAGTTGGTCATGTCCAACAGAAAAGTTTATCAATTAGATTGAATCCATCAAATTATGTATTATTAGTAATATTAAGTTGATGTGAATGTATGTTACACTCATCCATTATGATACATTGTTATTTACAGTGAAGCCAGTCATCTAGATGTGAAGGTTACAGCTTCTATATACCTAGCTTTAATTGTTATAACATTACATATCTTAGATAGACAGGTAACATATTTTTATTATCTGTATCGTAAACTTTTACATTGATGGCACTGTTAAGCCACTCAAATTGTGGGTAAACAGTTGGCTATCACCAGATAACAGTCCATGTATATAAAATGTGCATTTTCTTAGAGCATAGAAAACTATATTATAAGTATACATCTTTTTGGTGATGTACAATTTGGTTGTCATAATACACAAAATGATTTGTTTTCAGATCTAAAATTTTGAAATGAAGGGACTTTTTTCACTTGAAATAGTCAAAATCATTTATAAGATATAATCTAAGATGTATTTTGAAAGATATTCTCTTTGTTTGTAGATGGAATATACCAATAAGTTAGATTTTTTGTGGATAAAAAGGTTTGAAAATAAAACAGAAGAAATTAAAGTGACAGCTAATTTAAATAAAGTGATATTAGAGAATATTTTACCAGCTCATGTTGCTGACTATTTCCTTAAGTTACCCAGTAAAAGTGGTGGAAAGGCTGTAAGTATTACCCATTTACAGCTGTGTCAACTGGAATAATGTGTTCTGTTCAATGCCACTAGACTTTCTTACGCTCTCTGAGATTAGAACCCACAACCACCATTTGTTTGACATAACCAAGTGTCCAATGTTCTAACAGACTGAGTTACAGACCCCCTCACTATCTATTCTTATTGATGTTTTTATTTATTTCAGAATCTCTATTATAATTTCTACCCCAATGTGAGTGTGATGTTTGCCTCCATACCAAATTTTAAAGATTTCTACCAGCAGAATACAGCTAATAAAGAAGGCTTGGAATGTATTAGAGTTTTAAATGAGATTATATCAGACATTGATCTAGTAAGAGAAATTGTTATACATATGTAAATATTTTCAAATATTGAAAAACAATTTGATGATATTTCTACTCCTGAGTTTCATTGTACACAATGTTTTAACTGATGATGACCATATAAATTGTACTCTACAGATTTAATAATAACATGGATGATGATATTTGATTTGAAATGTATCTGTATTTGTTGTAGTTATTATGTGAAGGAGATTTTACAAGAGTAGAAAAGATTAAGTCTATAGGAAGTACATACATGGCAGCTACCGGACTACAACCTAATAAACAGTTCGGAGATGTAAGTGAGATATTTTGCCAGTTTTTGACAGATTTGGTATGTACTATTAGCTACATGAGAAAAAATAAAAGTCAAGTGAGAAAGTATCTTTTTTTACCAACCACATGCCAAAGTGGGCTTTTTTTGATTTGATCCACTTTTTCAATTTTGATTCCAATTATATGCATATTTTCATGAGACATCTTGATCTTGATTATTGAATTTGTAGCACCAGGGTTTCAAATTTGGCCACAAAGTTAGGGAAAAGGGCGTGGGAGACGTTGAGGGTGAAGGTGAACAAAATTTCGCTTTTGTCTTGTAAACTAAAAAATATAAAAAATCTTGCCTAACCCTTCATGGCTATTTATTAATGCAGTTGTAAAACTAATGTACCATGTCTTGTTATATTTCAGAATGAAACAGAGAAAAGAAAGAATATTGAAATAATGACAGAGTTTGCTGTAGCTTTAACGAGTAAAATAGAAAATATTAATATTCATTCTTTTAATCAGTTTAAAGTCAGAATAGGTTAGCTTTTATTTGTTTACCTTTCAATAAATATCTAGTTTGATACTCAATAGAACGCCAGGTTAATTGCTTTCTGACTAACCTGGAGGTCTTGATTACAATCCTAACATAGTTCATTGTGATACTATCGAATTTTTTATCCATCCTTCTGCAATACTAGGTTGAGAAAATTAAGGAGTCTAAAAGCTCTAAAAATTATTTAAGAGATTTTAAGAATAAACAGCAGCAGTACAATAAGAAATATTAAAACAGAACCTCAAACATGTTTTAACTCCACTCTGTGCGACCTCCATAATTATATAGAATTGTTTATAAACAGATAGAATTCTAAGAATCAAAACTCTATGCAATGGAAAATACAGTAATTTTTTATTTTGCCTCCTTCTAGAGATAAATAATATATAAATAGTATATGTAATAATATCATCAATTGATATCCAAACTATATTACAGGAATTAACCATGGTCCAGTAACAGCAGGAGTAGTAGGGGCTAGAAAACCACAATATGATATCTGGGGGGATACAGTTAATGTTGCTAGTAGAATGGATAGCTCTGGAGTTTTAGAACAGATCCAGGTAAGAAATTTACTAGCTTTACAATATTCTCTAATTACAGAAACCATTAACTTTGGATGGAAAATTGAAATGGTGCAAATAGAAGTCATAAATGGCCCTGATAAATATAAAGATAAGAAAACCTCTGTAAATTATGTTATATGTATATTATGACATTCTCCATACTTCTATGTTATTGATATTTATTCTTCTTATTTTTAGGTGCCAGAACATACAGCAAAATTACTCCAGTATTCTCCATTCAGAGTGAAATATCGAGGTGTTATTAGTGTTAAAGGGAAAGAACCCATGAAGACTTATTTAATTTCAACTCAGTCTGTAACAGACAGGACTAGTACAGATCTCAATAATATAGTCCACAAATCTTTAAACAGCAGAGTGTCGTCTGTTAGTTTCGATACTGAAAAAAATTATGCAATCACTGCCTGTAATGAACGTTCAGATTCTGTTGATACAGAGATCACATTGTGTTTAGATGCTGAAACTCCTAAAACTGTGGAAAACATTGAACCATTACAAATTGAAACTACTGATATAGAAATTTCTGTTTGTGCCAACACAGCAAAAGATACTTCATCTGTGGAATCTATTTTGGAGGATATAACACTCAGTGCTGATAGAGACATGGAACAGACAATAGATGCTGTAACATGTCACTTAGAAACAGAAGTACCCGGTAGTGCTGATATATGTCAATCAAATGGTCAGGATAATTCTGCTTTTGAAAACTGTGATAATGATTTAAATATAGAGGCTGTTGATATTGCCACGAATTGTGCTGATGTTATTGCAGAAGATGAACATTCTGAGGAAACTGAAAGGAATGGTGCTAACATACTAAATGCGTTTTTCCCTTCTAATAACGACAATTTAAGTAGAGATACAGGTTGTATAGGAAATTCATGTTTGATTGACATGAAGAGAGTTAACTTTGATTCACAAGCCACACCCACTGAGACAAACTCTCATTCCCCCAGTAATTCAGTGTCTAAACTGACAAGGGGAATAACTTGTAATCTACAATCGTGTAATTCTTGTAGCAAACTGAACAACAAAGTAAATTCTAATTTGAATAATACTTGTAGAATAAGTAGATAATGACGTATCGAACATTCCACAGTTAAAGTCAAAATGATTCTGGTGCTTCAAGTTTATTGATTTTATCAAGCAACAACAATGCAAATATATACATCGTGAAACTGCAAAATTATTCATTTATTTAAAATTTTAATTTATGGTCTATTCTTTGAAGTTCAGAGACCAAGAGCAGAATATTTAAAATCAGTTCTTTGAAATTCACAGCTTTATGTTTTTATTTTATAACATTCTTTCCATTATCTTGATATGATCTGTTAAATTATTGTTTATAGACTGTGATGCATTTTTTTATGATTCAAAGAGTACATGTTGATGATATGTATCAGTCTTTCCAACGAGTGAATGTTGCTGTGTTATGATGCTTATTTTGAGTGCTGGGTTGGTGATGGTTGTGTTTTGTTTTATTATTGTGTTTTCAATTGTCATTTAAATCTAAGCACTGGCTACATCATGATAATTTACTTAATATCAGAGAAGAGTTGATGTTTTATTTAAAAAAAAATCAAGTTCATGTAGAGGCTGAATATATATGTACTGCCAATTTTTGTATGAAAAAACGTGCTAAAGATTAGGTTAGCTTCTTGGAGCCCCTGTTGAATATGGCCTGAAAATAGAATCAATCAACAGGTCCAGTCACTGAAATCTCTCTCTAAGTTGAAAGGGCATCATCTTCTGAATATGTTTTTATCTGTTGCCCTGAAATTGTAGCGATCTGTAGCATTTTTCAAAAGAAATATTAAATGTTCAGTTTGCATGCAATCAAATATGAAACATTTGCCAAACCCTTATGAACATGGTGTCCAATTATCATATAAAAATTTAGACTACTTAGGAACATTACACTCTTTTAAATTACTTGACACTCAAAGTTTATACTTAAAACTTACGCATTAAATCAAAACTTTTGGTTATCCAAGTTAATTTTTATTAAAGTTCATGAATAAACAAGAAATATGTGAGTTAAATATAAAATAATTTATTATATAATTTATACAAGTGTATATTTAAATTTTACACATTTATAAAGAAAAATATCAAAAATTTGTGAATTTTCAATTCATAATAAAGGAGTGTTGCCTGATTGAGAATTGGAAACTTTGTTAACAATTTTTCCATTTACAAAACTAAGATGGCAAATTTGGAATGTTCAAAGTGGCAACATTGGTATTTATTTGCTTCTGTGGAGGAATTATTCAACACCAAATGAAATTACAAGCCTTTTTGTCCTGCAGTATATTACTGTAATCTTATTCATATTTAATTGGAGAATATTGTGCCTATCTTTCAACTTTCTTAGCTTCTGCACACGAACAATCAATTTCGTTTGACATTATAAATCCTGTCGGCAATGTGATAATCTTATCATGGAATCGTGGACACACAAGATTTTACTGAAGATTCGTGTCAATGACCGTTCGTGTGCCTGCAGCATAAGGCAGATAATAGAAAAACAAAAAAATGAGTAAATGTGAGAAAAGATCTCAAACTACCAGAAATACCATCTTCAAAAAAAAAATTCCCTTCCATAGCATTATTTCACTTACAGTGAATTATTGAATTGTTTATCACAGTTGTAAATGCCAAGTGTTATTCAGCTCTTTAAGCACTAACTTCTGATAAATTAACAATAGTGTAGGCCTAAATCATCATCAGCTGTTGAGAATTTTTTCAGGGTGTGGTAAAGGTACTCCATATTTCTGACACATTTTCTTTAAAACTTTTTCATATTCCTTATTTAATTTAGCTGATTGTTGTAAAGCATATTTTATATCTTCTACTTCGTCAAAAAATCCCTGGAAAAAATTAGTTCTAAATTGAATCCCTACATCTAAATTTTAAACCAATTGAATTCATGGTGGAAAGAAAAAAATGGATAAGAAAGGAAGCCATAAGTTAGCACACTATGTTCAGACACGCTTCAACTCATTTTATTATGAAAATATAGATTGCAAATACATTTTCTCCACTTTGAACAAGGGCATTTACTTTATTAACAGCACTGAAAATGTTTTTTGCTAATAGAGATTGGAAATGGAACTAATGAAGACTTTAAGTACAGTTTAAAACAAATGAGTCAGACATGACTAGAATGCCATAGGTTTGAATCCAATTCAAACTAAAAACAATTTCTGATGTCTAATGGTGGCTCATAAACCTTTCATGCAAGATCTGACTAAAAAGTATGCTACCTTATCTAAACCATCTAATTCTGCTCTAAGCTTTTTATTCTCTTTCTTTAATTTAGTATTTTCTTTTATGATATCTTTCTGTCTTACACCATCTGTAATATAGGTTAATAGGTACAACTACTATTACATCACAAATTATATTGTTAACAGTCAAACATGTATAAAGCCATGGACTAGGGGACAGAGTAAAATTGGCCGTTTACTGATACTGAAAGTGGCTGCTGAGTGAAGACCCTGGTGTACAGTGAATATGGGTGAATGTTTGTAAAGCTAAAACTTTAAACCACCTTAGATATAATCTAAGTATAAAGTATAATTCTTTAATATTCATTATATCATATATCTTGGAATTTTAAATTTAAAAGTTTAATTTTATCTTTAGAAGAGGATTTTTACACTGAATTTATTCAATTCCAATTGCCTGATTAAGAGCTATAAAAAGGTAGTTTACCTTCTAATTTTGATGAAGAGGGTCCACTGATTTTAAACAATTCATGTTTTATCTTAAACAGTTCCTCTTCACTTTTCTGTAACTTTGATTCGAACTGAGCTATTTTACCCTGAAATTAATCATAGACACCATGTAAATCATATCTTAAACACTTTGCTCACTTTAAAGTCACAATGATATTCCCACCTGTCAATGGCAGGATTTAATATATAAGAAGTATTGATACTATCGTACATAATCTTTTTTCAGGTTGGTTGTTGCTCAAGCTTTTACATCCTACAACCAAACTCATATACATGTACTATCACAGATTGCCGCAAGCTTATAGACTTAAAAAACATGACGTTACCAAAGGAACGTAATTGCAAAGTGACATCAGTTATTACCTTACATTGTTTGTACTTAATATCATCTAGTCAAAGTAAAGATAGTTTTTTGAATCAACGTCTTATCATTTACACCACAGCTAAGTCCTAACTAAACTCAAACATAAACCTTGTTGAAAAATAATAAAATTAAATCAGCTTCAAAATCATTTCACATCGGGAGACTTGACCCACAAATATATCAAATGTTACACCATGACTATGATTCATCTTCCTTTTTTTACAGTAAATTTATCAATTAAACCACATCAATATATAAAAACTTACATTTAATTCTGTAATGGTTTGAAGATGTTCCATGTTTTGTTTGACTTCCTTTTCATATCTCTTCATTATCTGACTCTGCATATTCACTAATCTTATAGGAGAGAGAACAGAATTACTCTTACTATTAGTTATATACATACTTGTTACTTTAACTTGTAAATATATTACCGGTACATCTATAACCAAGACGCAAAAGTGATTTCTGGCACTCGTGTATTAGGAAGATAGCCTCTTAAGTACCGGTACCATTCTAGTGTCCTGTCGTAAATCTGAGGTATCTGTAGTATCAAAATAAAAATTCCATTCAGATTGATTGGTTGCAAGAAAAAGATACCAAACTAGAAATTCATGTAATAGGAAAAACCTTTAATGTCCCAAATACAAGAATATAAACTAGAAAACTGCTTTAAAATTCCTTCAATTCGGTATCTGGTTACTTAATTGACTACAGAACAATAGAACCTACTTGTTGATTTTTTCACTCTCTTCAATATAAGTACCAGTAGCTGTGCTTGGTTTAGAAGATATACCAGTAGATTTAGTCTTATTCCAGGTTTGACTTTCAGTTTGTACATACACACTAGAAAATAAAGTTTTAAATAGCTAAATAACAAAATCAAGCCATAGCCATTCACTTATTATTCACCTATTCACCATTACCTACCAACTTTTTGGAAAGAAAAAGCAGAGCAAATAGTTTTCCAGAAAGCAATAGGCTACAAATTTTAGTTACGATTTGGCATATATCCAAATAAAGTTGGCTTGTGTGTAGTCTAAACATTTTGTTTTCCTCTTTTTCCAAAATTGTGTAACTTATATTATAAGTTGTCAGAGCCAAACCATGAACTGAATGGAATCTATTCTATCCAGACTTACTCTCTGCTAGTAACATAATTCTTTAACAAAGCTTCAACTTTTCTCTGTTCGAAAATAACATCAATTTGTTTCTGAAGTTTTTCTTTTTCTTGTTTTAACCTGCTATATCTTTTCTTTATTTCTATATTCTCGGCTGTTAACTACAACCAAAAACAAAATAATCAATTAAAGCATAATGTAAGCTTAGACTGATGGGTTAGTTTGGTCGTTGTTCAAATACCTTGTGTAGGCTATCCTTTACCACAAATAAAAGGCTTGTTGCAGCAATGGTAGGCTACTTCTGCAGGTTGTATCTCTCTTATCAGTTAGCATAGTGAGCATGTTAGACTTCGACTGCAGAAAAACAGTCAAACGGATTTCATTTCTTTTGTCGTTCATAGGCTAATAATTATTTCACGTCAATCTTTCGTTTACTGATATTGATACTCAAAATCTTGATAATTTGAAAAAGCGTCCTAAACAACAGTCCATTTAAACCTCTTCAAGATTACAATCGAGCATACAATAGTGTTCATCTAAATCTTGGAGAAAGGTAATTTTAAAACTTTGACATTACTTACCCTAGAACAGCAATGAATATCAGGAAATGACATTTTGATTCCCGAAATATAACATTCCAAAATTTAATTTAACTCGCGGATTTCGTAAAATAAAAAAAAAAAATCAAAAACGAAATGAAAACTATTTCTTTAAAATCTCAATTTAAAAATGCCCTTATTAGATCTTGTGGAAATATTTTAGTTTGCAAATACTGCGTCACAGTCTTTGCTTTAAGTTGTGTTTTGGCAAGTGGAATAACCATCATGTAAATGGAGTTATTCCCCTTTAACTGTTTTTTTTGGACTTTACGCTTTATGTCTTGGATGGCCAACAACTGCCTTATAACACATAGCATATATTTAAAGGAATACCACCTCTTTGGATGGCCGAAATATTAAGTTATTCAAACTTGGCTTAACTTGGTGGACTTATTTCTGTAGGCCTACCTAGTGTCATAATTATAGACATACAACAGAATAGCCGTACCTCTATAAACCTATGGATATTCTTGTTCGTGGCCAACTTGATTAAAGCCATGATGTAGATAATTTGATTAATTAAATGTACTTATTTGAATAACTGCCTCTATTATTATTTTCCCGGTTTCCTTCTGTCAGTGAAGCAGGTAAGAGTGGCTGACATGAAAAAAGCGTCTAGATGGGACAATAAACCGAGGCCCCGTGTGCTACAGGCTGTGCACGTTAAAGATCCATCGACAGTTGGACATCGAAAAAGAGCAGGCTCATGCAAAATTTCCCTTATTGCACCCTGCTTGGCGTTGCCCGTCTCCATTAGCCCACATGATGCTGAAAAGTGGGCCGAGATTGGGAGCTTTTTCACCTGATTTGCCGGAAATTTTTCCAGGAATTTTACCTATATATTTCTTTGTTTTCAGGCTGTTGCCTGATATTTTTTCGGTCCCTGTCCGAAAAGAGAATATTTGTCATATACAGGGATTGTTTTGTTAGTTATGACACCAGGTAAGTCCACCGAGACTCATTTTTGCCATGTTTCAAAATCTTATTATTTTTAAGAAGTGGTATCCCTTTAAAGTGCGCTGCACATAGATAGCTTCTCTCAGATTTAGACAACGGTCACCTTAAACACAACTAGCCTTGCCTTGTAATTGATGATAAAAAAATTAGAAAATTTGACTTATTTTATATTGCACCGCGTCTCTCAAATTTTCCATGTCAAATCCGACGATAAAAACGTGTTAAAATGATGGCAAAATTGTGATCTAGTTAAAAATTTCTCTGTTGAACCGAACAACCCCTTGAAAGACTTCTAGAGGATGAAAATATATTGCGTGTTAACATTATATATTTTAAAATGCAATTACTTCGCTATGCTCTAGGTGTGGGCTTTTAGGTTTATATTGCTACATGAAAGAAAAAAAATGAACAATGTTTTATGTTGCGAAGTAATATACTATAAAAAACCTAAGAGACCAATTAGGTTAATTAGAATAAATAGAGCAATATTTTTATGATTTTTCAGAGTATTGCATGATTGATGTTTTATTTACCTCGCTGTATGTATCTATTCATGTGTCTGTTCCAGCTGTCAGTCCTGAAGGTTATAGTAATAAATCCATAACTGTCAGAGGTAATAATAATACATTATATATCGTATGGTTCAGAAAAAACGACAACACTTTTACTTTTTACTCCATCATTAAAGAGACATTAGACCATCTTTTCACCAAATAACAGCTTTACATAGTGAAAGAATGACTTGTGGCCCCCCCTGAAACATTTTCTGGCCCGTGCTCGGCTCCCTTACCTGATTTTTCCTAGAAACGCCACTGACAATCAGGTGGATAGAATAACTTTTTAGATTTCTTTGGATGCCACATTTACTTGTTGTACGAGAAACTTAAACTTAAACTATTTACATTTTGGTACCTTTTTCCAAGACTCGACTCTTGAAAGTCAAGTTTAATTTCAGAATGTGTGGTTTTATCGGAGAATTGATGCAAAATAAAGTACCAGTTGGCACTAGAGTTTTCTTCCAATCCACTCATCCATAATAAAAAAAGTCTTGAAGATGGGTTCCCATATTTTCATTTATGAAAATAAAAATATAAATTTGACTCTAAAAAATAAAGAAACCTATCTAATAGGTCACTTTTTGTAAACCTTTGTGCTATGTGTATATTATTCTGTAATAGTTATTTTTGTTCACTTGTTCACTTTTCTTCGAACTTGTTTCGGATGCACGAAAACAATAGATGTGAAGGTATTGTCTGGGATGTCCGTCCAACATCCTGGTAAAGACAAAGAAAATGTAAATACAATCAAATCGATAGAAACATTTATGTAAATATAATCAACAAGAACAATAAATGTTTCGATTAAACGATTGAATGCAGTGCTCCAAAATTTGAATAGCACGATGAGACATGACGTTAGATAATATCGTTAGTGATACTTTATGTCATGACGTGAGATATATCGTCAGTGGGGCTGTTTTTAATGACGTGATATATATCATCCATAGAGTTATAAATATCTATGAACGTCAGCGGTACTGTCAGTCATGATGTGAGATATATCGTCAGTGGTAGGCTATTTGTAATGATGTGAGGTATATCGGCAGTGGTAGACTATTTGTCACGACGTGAGATATATCGGCGGTGGTAGGCTATTTGTCATGACGGGAGATATATCGTCAGTGGCACTATTTGTCATGACGTGAGATATATCGTCAGTGGCACTATTTGTCATGACGTCAGATATATTGTCAGTGGTAGGCTATTAGTCATGACGTGAGATATATCGTCAGTGGCACTATTTGTCATGACGTGAGATATATCGTCAGTGGCACTATTTGTCATGACGTGAGATATATCGGCAGTGGTAGACTATTTGTCATGACGTGAGATATATCGGCAGTGGTAAGCTATTTGTCATGACGTGAGATATATCGTCAGTGGCACTATTTGTCATGACGTGAGATATATCGTCAGTGGCACTATTTGTCATGACGTCAGATATATCGTCAGTGGCACTATTTGTCATGGCGTGTGATATATCGTTCGTGGTAGACTATTAGTCATGACGTGAGATATATCGTCAGTGGTAGAAGCTTTGTCATGACGGAAGATATATCGTCAGTGATAGGCTATTTGTCATGACGTGAGATATATCGTCAGTGGTAGGCTATTAGTCATGGCGTGAGATATATCGTCAGTGGTAGACTATTTGTCATGACGTGAGATATATCGTCAGTGGCACTATTTGTCATGACGTCAGATATATCGTCAATGGCACTATTTGTCATGACGTCAGATATATCGGCAGTGGTAGACTATTTGTCATGACGTGAGATATATCGTCAGTGGTAAACTTTTTGACATGACGTGCGATATATCGTCAGTGGTATTATTTGTCATGACGGGGGATATATCGTCAGTGGCACTATTTGTCATGACGTGAGATATATCGTTAGTGTTAAGACTGAAGAAGTTCCTAAAAACTTCTATGTAAAGCGCTGGCCAAGGTCACAAATAAAGAGATAAATGTTCAATACAAGATAAGTGGTAGACTATTTTTCATGACGTGAGATATTTCGGCAGTGGTAGACTTTTTGTCATGACGTGAGATATATCGTCAGTGGTAAACTTTTTGACATGATGTGTGATATATCGTCAGTGGTATTATTTGACATGACGGTAGATATATCGTCAGTGGCACTATTTGTCATGACGTAAGATATATCGTCAGTGGTAGACTATTTGTCATGACGTGAGATATATCGGCAGTGGTAGACTATTTGTTATGACGTGAGATATATCGTCAGTGGCAGACTATTAGTCATGACGTGAGATATATCGTCAGTGGTAGACTATTTGTCATGACGTGAGGTATATCGTCAGTGGTAGACTATTTGTCATGACGTGAGATATATCGTCAATGGTAGACTATTTGCCATGACGAGAGATATATCGTCATTGGTAGACTATTTGTCATGACATGAGATATATCGTTAGTGGTACTATTAGTCATGATGTGAGATATATCGATAGTGGAAACCCTGCATCTGTATGTGGAACTGTGTTTCCACTAATACAAAATTAAAAAATATGATTAAAGCATTTAATATCACACTTCACTGTTTATTTATTTACAGTTCTGAGGATTCCTCGATGACGGGTGTAATTTTATTAGATTTGGGTTTAATTAAAATTGGTCTTTCAACATGATCCTTGAACACTCTGCGTTTTGACTGGTCAGAATTTTGTGGTTTAGAATTCCATAATTTTGGTTTTAGCTTAGTGTCGGATTGTTTAACAGGGTTTTCAATAATCACAGCTGTGGTTTCTTCGGTTTTTTCAGAATCACAAGAGTTTGGTCTGTTTTTATCGGCTTCAATTCCGGAATCGGTAGAAGCGTCTGATGAAATATCTACAAATGTACAATGTCGTCCCGTAACCCAGTACGTTGGTATAATCTGATCCTGCAATAGAGAGAGACGGATTATCAATATACCAAATAAACAACATCAATGGCTATGTTGAATCTCCTATTAGATCTCGAGTAGCTTGCTCAGTAGCAGAGTGGCTTCAAGTAGCCTATATTGAGCATACACAGTTCCAGTCTCACTCTTAAAACATTTACCAAAATAAATTGGTCTATATTCACAATATTCACTGCTTTTGATACCAATGTCTTTCCTTCCATCTAATTTGTCTACGAAATAATAAGTAAATATATTGACTCTCTAACGGATGTTGAGTTTACAAATCCAGTTTTTAAAGTGACGTCATGATTTCTTAAGGTGAACATGTCCGTCCTGCCTCACTAGTAACACCCATAACAGTTGAGTAAAGATCAAAATATCTCAAATGAAAAGAATGTTAAGCTAATGATTTCAGAAATCGATGAAAATCAATGTGAATTTTGCCGTAGGGAACGGAATCTCTTGAAAAATACATGTAAATCACAAAACCAGCTTTACAGAAGTTAAGTACACGTTGCAGTCGCCTATTGTTGCTCAACTGGAGACGTTTTCATCTTAAGAACAAGTATGTGTTATTTTAATGCTGTCATTAAAGTCAAGACTGGTTCTGTTTTATTGCATTTTATCATCTCCAGGGTCAACCTAACCTTGAGGCGACTTTTGACTTGAAATTTTTTGCTGGGTTAGTGAAGTTAAATTGAATTATACTCAGTTAAAGACTCTTTTAAAATTGTATTTCTTAGAATTTAATTTAGTCGCTTTTACTGCGCACCCAAGTCTTGCAACTCGGTACATTTTGGTTTGAGGCATGGACATGTATGTTAAAAACACATTAAGTATTTGGAAATTAATTTTATTGTCTGAAATACTAGAATTTGGAATCTCATTAAAATGTTGAAATTCAGCATTGGTCTTTTTATTTAATGAATTCCTTTGCAACCAATTTGGCAATTTGCATTAGAAGGCTACGAATATTGGTTCGATCAGTCTTAGTCGGAGAGAATTATTCATCATCTTGTATTATTGGTATTTTTTGCTCAAAGCTGCGGCTAGTCAGCTGGTGGCATGTCAAGACAGCCAGAGCTACCAAATGTGTTGGCTTAGCTGTAGCCAGCTGGTACATCCCCTTAGCCAGCCGAAAATTGGCAAGCTGGCTGACTCACGGGCCTAACCATATTAGATGGCTTCCAACACTCATCGTGCGTAATTTATTGTTTGAATTTTGATATATAACATGTTGAAACTCATACTCAGGAAACGATGGTTCCCCTTATTCATGTTTTTAGCAAGATTTTTCGCATTATCAATTACCATTGTTAGAAGTAGGACTACTTGATGCCAAAGATCTAACCCCATTCATGTTACTGCAGCATTTTTAAGACCCTAAATTTTCATTTTAATTTTTTACTCTCTTTTTGTCATCTAAGAAGAATATTAGTTAAAGAATCAGAGATGAGAATAAACAGCATAATCAGACTAACAGGTTGTTCCTGCAATAGTTATATTGGGTAACAATAATGAACGCTAAATTAGGTCAAGTTAAAGGGAGATAATTTGATATGGTTAATCAATATTATTCATTATATAAGTCAAGTATAATATGTTCTCGGCTTGTTTATATATAAATAAGAAAGTGCTTACAGACTCAAGGTATGTCTCATTCTACTTCCGGCTTGTAAGTCAATAGAGCCGTCTATATCAGTTGTTATTCAATATGGGTATTTATCAATCACGTTCGATAATAATATTTACCAAGCCTTTAGGCAAATACATATGATAGATAATTAATTAGAACTAATGTCAGATCATAACAACCTGATACTGATACAACTAATGGCTAATGACCACTCCATAAGAAACTACGTATGGAAATAACACGATCGTAGGTCATAACAATTTTGAATCTCTACCTCGATTTAATAAGTTGGATTCATAAAGAGGCAACAGTATTTCAACCAAAGCCTTCAAATCACATTGAAAGCAAATCATAAACCGTTAAATGGGATTTGAAGGCTTAGTTGAAATATTAAAACTTTTAAAAATTCAACGTATCAAGTTGAGGTAGAGATCCAAAATGGCTGTCAACGCAGTTTCGTATTTTTAGCTACCCATAACAATAAAAGTAAGACGGGTTTCTCTGAAGTCTAATAAGAAAACAGATATAATATAACCCACCCAAATTGTAAAATTTAATTTGATGTGGATCACATTTTTTTAACCGAATATGGGATTTTAAATCTGAAAAGCGTGATAGTGTTATCGAGCTTATCAGTTGGTAAAACGAAATGATGATGAAATAATCAGGCCTGTGGCGTTTCTATGAAACATTAGGTGATGGGACCACGTAAGAACCATGCCCACCCCCTGTAGAAACGCCACTATAGGGAGTATAACTTTCAAAAGATACACTACCTTGAAGGTTATGTCTTCGCCATTTTCCAGATCAAAAGTAGTGCTCTTCTCAAACAGGCTTTGTACAGTTTTCGATATCAAGCATTTCTGTGCAATTGTAATATTAGATAAAAGTTTTAACACGTCAGTTGTCTCTCCAAGAGTCACGAATTTTGGTGAGCCAGATCCAATCACACCGGTTACTACACTTCCGGCATGCGCAGACACTTTAAGTTCAAATGATTCTTGCAAACTAGCACATGAATGAACCTTATTCTTTAAATTTAACAAATCGAGACACAAATGTGGAATCTCCTCAGCAGTTTTGGGTTCATTTTTCATATCTTTATTTAAGCCTAAAGTCACAGTAAATGTATCGCCTTGAAGATTGGTGCGGTAGGCGTCATACCTACTGAAAATCTTTTCTAGTTCGGTATGAGTTTCATTCAGAAACACTATAATATCTTGTGCAGAGGCCGTCTCTACTAGATCTCTCATGTTAGAAATCTCCACCAGAACGACTCCTAACATAGCATGGACTTTAGTCTCGATAGTTTCACCGTTTGTTAATTTGGAAATCAAATGTGGTGGAATAACGTCCTTAAGCATGTGCTGAATGTTCGATTTGGCTACAAATAGCTCCGAAGTTCGTTCCTCAATTCTCGATTCAAGATGATCAGTATATTCTTCCATCGCCTCCATCATTGAATCGAGCACTGACTTCCTTGAATGCCGACATTGTCGTAACATTTTTGCTATTTGATCAAAACTGGGTCTGGAGGCGGCGTTTTCTGACCAAGCTATTTCCATGATCTGACGAACTCGTATCGGCGTGTCATCAGAAGGTTGTGGTCGCAGATTGTTATCAACAACAGCTTTGATGACTTGTTCTGGGGTCAAATGATCGACGTGCTCTGCGTAAGGATCTTCTCGAGTAAATATCTCTTGTAAAATTATAGCAAAGCTGTAGGCATCACCAGATTGAGAACACAGAATTTCAAGATCGGATCTGAGGACTTCCGGTGCCACCCAGAAGTCTAGATAAGCTGCTGCATGTTTGCCAATGTCAACAGCAGTTTTTCTTAAGTATGTGAAAGGATTTTTATGCTTTTTAACATGTTGTAACAGTTTAAGATATTCCCAATCGCCTATTTTGACTGTCCATCGAGAGTCAATGAAACAATGGGTTGATGTAAGATGACCGTGAATGATGCCGTTATTATGAAGAAAAGCCATGCCAGCAACTATATCAAATGCTAAGGAAAATTTAAAATCGTTATTTAGGTTATATTTGCCATCTTTGAGAACGTCAGTCATTGTTCCCTTGGCACAATATTCACCGATGACATAACGCTCACCGTCCAGTTCGCTTAATCCAAAAAATCGAACGACGTTAACGTGATGCACATTGTCTCGTATCCATAACATGTCTTTCTTCATTTCACGATTAATCAGTTTAAGTTCTTTTATTTCCAACAGTCGGATCCCCACGGTGTTATTATTATATTTACCGGGCCATTGTAAAATTTGTAGAAGAATATCAGTTCCCTCTGGAATGTCTTCAATAGACCGCAAAGACTTGATTGACTTCATTCCCATTAATTTAGATTTACCGCTCGAATTTGCCTTTTCATCAAAATAAAAAATTATGTCTTCGATGGCGATATTCCATTCATCTTTGTCAATCATGGCGTTTATTCGTAATTTTTGACGGATGATATAGCCCAAAAGACATAAGGTAATGATTGAGAACAATGGCACAGTTACAGCTACTGGTATAACCCAGGTTTCTTCAACTTCGTCCTCCGCTTCCTTATCAGCTTGAACCATTGCCCATATATTCTGGCCTTTGCAAGTCATTTTAGTCAACACGTCATCTGTTATTTTATCCACAATAGATTGACTCAATGGCGCCATATCATTTTCTTCGCAGTCCTTTCTGGCAGATGGTGTGTTCATAAACCAGTCAACGTATCGCACAAATTCCTTCGCTGAATCACAGTCCTTCATCATAGTTTTATATGCTATGAAATACGTATACGACGCGATCGGATAGGCATCTATAGAATCCCTGTCTGATAGAGACGTTATCAAACTCGTTGTCGCTTTGGCCGCATCATCCATAGCACTCTGTATAGCCTTACTGGTAGGAAGCACGTGGCGACCTCTTTTATTTTCCACTATAGCGTAAGCTAATCCTTGAGCCTTAGCATCGGCTACAGACAAATACCCAACGGAATATTTAATAGACAAAATTACGCCCGACATACCAACGTTTCGTTCAGCGTACAAATGTGCGGTATCCGGGTGCCATTTTACTGCAAGACCAGTATTTCTGTCCATTCCCTCTGAAAATGTTCCAAACTGTGTTTTCCACTCAGAATTAAATGCTGACAAGGCTTCCGTAAAAATCTCCGTTGTTCCCGATTTATCAGCTCTGACTATAACACGAATTGTTTCATTAGGCATTGAACAAGATGGATTCATGTTTTGAAACGTTGTTTCGTTCCATGTGGTGTAAGTTCTGTTGAAGATTCCAACAATTTGTTGGCGCGTGAGGTTTAGTTTCTCTGAACAGCCAGGTATATTATAAGCAACAACTACAGCCCTGGAATTAGAAAATAAAACAAATTTTACTTCCTATTTAAAGATGGGTTCCCTTATTTTCATTTATGAAAATGTTTATACTTATATTATACGAATAGAAAGTAAATGTGTTCTAATGACTTGGAAAAATACCAGTTTGTCTCACATTTCCATAATTAATTCAAAATTAGCGCAATTAGAAGAGAATTACCAGCAGAGTTCCAATGAATGAGGTCAAAAAGTCGTTTCTTGTTTATCCGGACTGTACTTACATAGACATTTATGATTGGTTAAAACTCTTAATTATATGCAATAAGAACAAAATGATATGATAGTTTGCTTAAAAATAAGGAAACCCATCGTTAAGACAATATTAATTAATATTCTCATATGATATTATCATTGAAACGATATTTATAAAGAGTCTATAAGGGTAGACTGAAATATCATATATCCTATCCCTTCATGTCCAACCTTATGTCCCTTATGAACAATCTTCTTTGTGAAGATACCGCCATCCAAACAAATTTCGGCTATTAAAATCCCAGCGTTATTTTTTATCCTTTGTCAAATCCCATCATTTTCTATCCTAAGTCCTATCCCATCATTTTTCTATCCTATGGCCTATCCATCATTTTCTAACCTATTTCCATGGCCCTCATTTTTCTATGCTATGTCCTATCACATCATTTCCTATCCTATGTCCATCCCTCTCATTTTTCTATCTTTGTCCTATCCTATGTCCAACCCCCTCATTTTTCTATCCTATGTCCTATCCCATCATTTCCTATCCTATGTCCAACGCCCTCATTTTTCTATCATATGTCTTTTTCCATTATTTCCTATCCTATAGTTATTGCTAAACCTTATCTTATACCATATCATACTTATTCCACCCCATGTCCTATCCCATCATTATCCACCCCATGCCCTACCTATAGTTCATACTAAGTCTTAACCTAAATCATATCATGCTTTTTTAACCTTAGCTTTTACTATAATATCTTATTCCATTTTATGTCCTATTCCAACATTTCAAAATCCTATCTTATGTCCTATCCGATTACTTTCTATTCTATGTCCTATCCCGCCATTTTCTATTCTATATCGTATTCCACCATTTTCTATCCTATGTCGTTCCCGCCATTTTCTAACCTATGTCATTTGTACCCTTTGCCCTTTCCCATCATATCATTAATTTTCTGTCCTTGTTTTAGTACAAATATAAAGATAATAAGTTAATTATAAAGATATCATAAAGATAATTAAAAGATAGAAAATCTGGCGAGCAAATTAGCTATTAAGGTAAAATAATAGTTATTTATGCAACGATTGAAATTTGTGATACCTTGCATGTTTAGGTTACTATAGTTACTGCATGATCTGGAGATATTATAGAATTTTCTACTGACAAAGGTACTGCAAGATTATACATGTACTTTTCATTATGATATATTATAACGCAGCTTTGGATTAAGATGAAAATTGATTTAAAAATAAACAAAGTGTATTCATAGGAAAATGACTTAATATTGCAGAAATGTTTTTATACTCCATATTATACTCTGGAAGCTCAACAAGAAAAATGCAACCATCTTAGACACAAAAACTGGTATCGGGTATAAAGTTTATAATTTTTATAGTCCAATGGAGACGACTGACCACCAATATAAAACATGAGTTAAAACTAGGCCGGTTTTTTTAAAGTTTTGAAAGATGTCATTGCAAGTATTTTTTTTTTCATTGTTAAATTTTTTTTAAAAATATTTTCCATTATTTTTTATGAGCATTTGAATAGCAGCCTCAAAAAAGTACTAACAGTCTAAAAACGTCACTGATAAAAATATAAACAAGAGCACACATTAGATCTTCAAAATTTGTTTTTAGTTTTTTGATTGAAACATCTTTATATAGGAGAGAAATGAGTTTCTTTTCAATGAAAACTTACGAAACATTCTATTTTTATCAACCCAAATACATTCTAGGACTAACAATTTTATTTTAAGGCTGATATTTTAATATAAGATATGTAAATTAGGAAAAATTCAAAAAAAAATTGGATTTGCTCAGACAATAAATAGTCACAAAGCAAAAGGTCACAAAATTGATTATAGTTACTTCAGTTTTGGTCAATGTCAGATTATCAGTCGGAAGAAATACGAGCCATTTGAAGATAATTGCGACTAAAATACTAAACCTTGTGATGGACTTTTTATGTAAATGATTGTATGGATGTAGTATGTGTTAATTTTAGAAATCCACTTTTTGACTAATTTTTGGTCTACATTTGGAATTTGATGTCTGAAGTTGCATTTTCTTTCAGTTTTTATGAGATGATGAGAGATTTTAAAGCAGAAAGATAATTCTAAAAATAGTTCATTTGTGCAGTGACAGTCAAGCGAATGTTGATAAACTGTAGTGGTCTACTTTCATTTTCATGGTCATGATATATTGATTGTTTGTCCAGAAAATAAGTATTGGTCAGGCTTTCGTGTGACATATTGGAAAGATTTCAACGAGATTTCTGGAAAAAGTTAAAGAAGGTTGAGCTTCGTGATTTAACATGGAAACAGATGGTAAATGAATTACCGGTCTTAGTCCTGATAACGTGACTACGACAAAAGATTGTATAATGTTCAAACCTTTTTTGTTTTTCCAGTGATATTAAAACCTTTGATAAATAATTAATTTTCAATTAACAAATAAATCATTTATATGTAGTATACTAATCAGGGAAATGTACAAAAGTACTTCAAAGTTGGTCGCTGATACAATAATTGTGAACAGTTGGGTCATGATAAACTTCTCAAAAACAAAGCCATTGTTATAGTCCAGGTGATTGATATAGCTTAATGATATTTCAATTGTTTAAAATCTATGTGTATAGTTTGAACACAATGTAAATAGTTCGTTTTTATTTTATTGGATTGAACTTTATGTTAATAAATTCTATTTAGTTAGAGCTTTACGTCAATTGGCCAATAGCTATGTCGACAGTTTGAATACCATGTCAATAGTTTGAACACTATGTCAATAGTTTAAACACTATGTCAATAGTTTAAACACTATGTCAATAGTTTAAACACTATGTCAATAGTTTGAACGCTATGCCAATAGTCTGAACATTATGTCAATAGTTTGAACACTATGTCAATAGTTTGAACACTATGTCAATAGTTTGAACCCTATGTCTATAGTTGAACACTAGGTCAATAGTTTGAACACTAGGTCAATAGTTTGAACACTATGTCAATAGTTTAATCACTATGTCAATAGTTTAAACACTTTGTCAATAGTTTGAACGCCATGTCAATAGTTTGAAGACCATGCTAATAGTTTGAACATTATGCCAATAGTTTGAACACTATGCCAATAGTTTAAACACGTTTTAGCAACTTGAACGCTATGCCAATAGTTTGTACACTATGCCAATAGTTTGAACACTATACCAATAGTTTACACACTATGTCAATAGTTTGAACACTACTCCAATAGTTTGAACACTATGCCAATAGTTTAAACACTATGTCAATAGTTTGAACATTATGTCAATAGTTTGAACACTACTTCAATAGTTTGAACGCTATCCTAATAGTTTGAACACGTTTTAGCAACTTGAACGCTATACCAATAGTTTAGGTATTATTACAGCGTGTATTGTTCGAATAGATTGAAATCTAATAGAAATAAAATGAAATGAATGGAGGTTTACGTCCTACTTTTGGGCACTATGTGGGCTGATGAAGACGGTGAAATCTAAAGAAAACGGTAAGTGATGGTCCAGGAGTATCTTTAACCTTTTGAAGTTTTAAACAAACTTTTTTGGTTTGGAATAAGTTAAA